AAAAACAAACGGCAATACAGATCTACAGCCAGCAAAAACAAACATCAATATTTGAATCCAGCAAAAACAAACTTCATCATTTGAATTCCCACTCACAACATCTACAGAAAGAAAAAAAAACCACCGTCAATATTTCAATTTCGCATCCAAACTGATAACATTTACAGCCAGCAAAAACCACCGTCAATATTTCAATTTCGCATCCAAACTGATAACATTTACAGCCAGCAAAAAACAAACGTCAATACTTCAATTCCCACTCACAACTTTTACAGCCAGCTAGCAAAAACACCGTCAATATTTCAATTATACGTCCCTACTGATAACATTTACAGAAGGGCAAAAAGCACCGTTAGTGTTTCCATTTTACATCCCCCCTGATAGCATAGTTTACAGCAAGCTAAAAAGATCGTGAATAACCCCCCCCCCCCCCCCGCACTCCCTGTCACTTCTGCTTTCCTAATCCTTTCCCTCCCTTCTCTTTCTCCTCCTCCTCAATCCTTCCTACGGCGCTCGCAATTGCAATTATGTCATATGAGCGCTCTGGATACATCAAACATTCAGTTGGGAGGAATTCTTTTCAATTTTACAAGGGTGGTGGCCGAAGCCTACTCTTATTGATTTTGGGCCACCAAGGGATCTTTAACGTGTGCAACTTGCACACGGGACCTCCGAGATTTTTCGTACTTGTCCGAAAAGGCTAGGTGTAGATCTGTCCTACCATAAGATTAGGGATGTGGCTGAAAGACAGCAGTAAGAAGGAGCCAAGGAGAAGCAGTAGAAAGGCTGCAGAAAGAGTCAGGAGTCCAGGGGAAGGGACAAAGGAGGTGAGGGGGTGGGGACAGAAAGAGGAGACGAAAGCAGACGACAGAACATTGTTGGAGAACAGAAAGGGATCATGTTAAAGGACATATTTTTTTAGAGAAGGAAATTTTCCGTAGTTATCCGGATTCGAACCCGAAAGAAAGGCGAACACCTTAACCTCTTCGCCACGAGAGCCCCCTTACGTTCCTTTGAAAAGATTAATAGCAAACAAAGCAGTCGTATGACATGCGTCGCCATTGATAAAATTCAATTGATTTAAGAGGCGGGTTGCTTCGGTCAAACATGCCGGAGTCCCCAGGCTATGTGACATGACAACGTAACAGCAAAAAGACAAGGATTCCCCATAAAGTAAACTCCACAGTTTACCTTTGCCCATATGAGCGCCAAGAGGTGGATGTCAACAGAAAAGTTCAAACGGGGAATCAGGCTTACTCTGCTCACCTCTCTTGTCTCAAAAACACAAAGTCTGCTTCGACTATCAAGGCACCCCGGAGACAGCAGTTCACGTGAGAGTGACAAACATACAAAAGAAGTAGAGGAAAAATGATGATAGTAAGGATGAGGAAAGAAAAAACAGCATTTCTCTCTATGTCGTTCCGGCACACTATGAGCATGACATTGATAAATCAGGCCATTTACAATTCTATTGTGCCTAAGAACGTGTTAATATCCCCCCCTTCGGGAATGGCCTGAAGACAACTTCAGTCAGTAGCACTGCCTTGGGGGAG